TTAAAAAAAAAAAAAAAACTGAAAGTAAAAAATCTAAAAGAAAAACGCTAACCCGGGGTTTCGATACCTGGACGTCAGGTTTAATATTAAAGGGAGCAGCCGCTGGGCTATCTCCTTCACCTTGTCATTGAGGGGGTTCAAAATATATATATCCACATAAATCCAGAAAATTCACCTTATATATACAGTGTAATTTTTTATCGAGGGGGTTCGGGTGAACCCCCTGGACAACACGTGGGTCCGCCCCTGCCTTTGACCATTGACCAGCCTTAGGTGGCATTAATTTAGCTGAGTTGGAAAAATGCGTGTTACACACGCGAAACATGAGCGTGAATTGAATTAAAAAGTTAAGAAAATTAAATAAAAAGAAAAAAATAAATTTACCTACCTTAAAAAAAAGGCAAAAAAAGAAAAAGAAAAAGAAAATCCCTTTCTTCTTCAAACCTACCCACCCACCTTTTTGGGAAATAGTAGATCTCTCAACTGCTATATTCATATCCTCTCTATTATCGATTATTTTTTCTTGAAATCTTGTTTTTCCTCACTTTTCAAATGAAAACAACACGTTCATCAAAAATCCCAAACAAAAATAATTGGAAACGAAAGAAAAAAATCTTCTCCAAATTGAAAGCTCAAAACGAAATTGAAGAAGGATTTTTGTTGCTACTACTTGCTTCTTTTTATCTCTTTAGAAGCAAAACTTCTAAAAAATAAAAACAGATTTTCATCTCTCTTTTAAATCATAGATACAACTTTGAAATTTTCATATTTCTTAATCTTTCTTTTTCAAGTTTGAATTTTTCTTTCAATTTCAAGCTTTTTGGTGTCAAGTTTAGTATTAAGAGTAGTAGGGTTTGAGTACTTTCTTCTAATATCAATTTTGATGAAATTGTAAGCTCAAATGGGGCTCTCAAATATTAATGAACTTTCTTTTGGGTTAGGGTTCTTGAGAACAAAGGGAAAAATATTTTTTTAAAGTAATTATTTGTTTAACAAAATAAATATATAAAAATAGCATTGTGACAATTAAATTAATAAGATGGATATGATGTGGCTTTTTTTTGACGTGGATATGATGTGTCATCCATGTCAGATCGAGTGAGGAACACCGGCTGACATAAGGGTTTAAAATTTCTATTTTGTTTGAGTTGAAGTGTCTGGTTGAAAGTTTAGAGAGTAGAATGGTCAAGTATAAGGGTCCACCACGTCATTTTGCCTTATTTATAATCACCTAACCAAATGTCCCTTAGAATACTTCAAATTTCAAAAGGGCATTCGATTTTTGGGAACATAAACGGGCAATTTTTTATCCGACCCACCAAATATAAACCCACAGCTCAAATTCTTGTCTTCACTTTTGCTGATTACAGTCTTGCAAAATTGCAAGCCATAGCTCAAAGGTAAGCTAACTGCATTTATTCTTCTGTTTTTTTTTTTTTAATTCAAAGTTGTAAACTTTAGTTATTTTGTTAAGCTTCTGATCTGCATTTTTTTAATTTTTATGCATAAAGGGGATTTATTGATTGAAATTAGATATTCTTGTTTGTGCCTTTGATTGTTAATTAGTTGCTTATGAAAGATCAATAAATTCAGAGATGGAGCCAGGATTAGGAGAGAGAAACCTTTTGTAAATAGTGGGATTCAAGCCCACAACTATAGTGTGGAAAGTACACTTCCTTACCATTAAACTGTCAATCAGTTTTTTTTAGGAGTTCACGAGTTAATATACATATATATTTATTTAATTTTCTAGTACAAATACAGAATCTACAGCAAAGCTATTGGGTTCGTCCGAACCCACGAACCCCCCACCTAGCTCCACCCCTGGATCCGCTTACCATGATTTTTTGATAGACTGGTTGAAAGTGAAACACCCTTATTATAAGTTGAGCAAGCAAATCTGTGGGGGTTAAGCGTATGTCATGGGATCGAACCCTGCACAGACAAAAGCTTGGTAGTGGAGAAGGATAGAGTCTAAGAAAAAAGCTATTGGGTTCGTCCGAACCCACGAACCCCCCACCTAGCTCCACCCCTGGATCCGCTTACCATGATTTTTTGATAGACTGGTTGAAAGTGAAACACCCTTATTATAAGTTGAGCAAGCAAATCTGTGGGGGTTAAGCGTATGTCATGGGATCGAACCCTGCACAGACAAAAGCTTGGTAGTGGAGAAGGATAGAGGGGCGGGTCCATTATCCATTGAGGTTCAAAATGTGTGTCCCTGGGGCTAGAGGATTTCTCGGTTATAAAAACTAAAAACAAAAAGTCTGTGAGCTTGAGCCATATTAGTCCCTTGTTAGTGTTTAATCAGGGAAGTCATCCTTTGAAGATATAATATAATCCTTTGGGCTCATATCTATTATTTGTTACAGTTCTAGTGGATTTTTAAACATAAAATTTTATGTTATGTCGAAAATATTGGGTATCGCAACTGTGGATCCGCCCCTGCTTCCTTCGTATTTGTTTTTTCTTACTCAGTTTGCTAGCATGTTGATTCATTTTAAGTTGTTAAGGGACTTATAGAATCTCCAACTGGCCATTGAAGTGTTGCAATTCTGCATTTGCTTGAGGTACATGGCTGACAGACATTCGGTTGATCAACATCAAAATATTGAACCACAGATAAATTCTCCTACTTCAAGGGATGACATGACCGCCTTTGTAGTTGCATTAGAAGCTGCCTTACTACCCTGTTTGCCGGCACGAGAACTCCAGGCAATAGACCGTTCAGCTCATCCATATCATCAGAGTGAGTAATTTCTGGCATATATTTGTATGTATCTAGAAGCTCAGTTACAAGTTCACGTGAATCCAGTAGCTTTTGTCCAAATGTTGTGCCTTTGAAGGATTGTCAGATGAGTGTTTGAAGGATAAGCATAGTGATAAATCAGAAGAAAGCAATAAAACAGAAATATTATACTTGCATCCTTTGTATTCAAAACTTCTAGTTTTGCTTTATAATCTCCTCTATCAGTGTTATTTTTGAAACCTTATATCGGGTAATTTTGTCCATAATCGTCTATCTTTTTTGCCTTTGTTAAGATTTGAATTATGGTGTTCCATTGTCGTTTCCAGCTTCATTTGACGCTAGGCTGCACCCTTGATGCAATATGAATCTAGCCAGGGTTGGAACTAATAAGGATATTGAACCCATTTCGTAGAAGAATTCTATTTGTCATATATGCTCAACGCGACTTTTATCAACAACTAGTCATCAGTCGTTCTTTTTCTTTGGATGAGTAGATAACATACAATGTTTTAGATTGAAGCATAGTTACGGTTGTTGTTTGGGTGGATGATTACAACTAGTCATCAATTGTTTCAGGCTCTTCAATGCACCAAATATTGCACATTTATGGAAATCATTCCGTCTTGTCTATATTGATGAAGCACAATCTCTTCTCTGATTCTAAGATTCCTTTCTGTATCTTGATAGTACGAGTATCCAACCACTGATTAGCGGAAGTCAGCAGAGTTTTCGTAGCACTACATTTCCCTTGTGATGTTATTGGAAATGGCAACATTGAGATAAAGTTTTGTTGCTTCACAGTTTGTATCTTTTGGCTGATCGAGTTTTGTTTTTGTTCCACAGTCGATGTTGAGAGACATGCTAGAGATTTCATGGAAGCTGCAAAAAAACTTCAACTTAATTTGGTTGGGTTGCAACGTGAAGATCTGCCCACAAAGCCCGAGATGCTTCGGAAGGTAATTTGTAGGAAACTCTTCCATTGTTAGAATTAGCATCAACTGTGTATTGAAAAATAGTCATTGTCCCGGAGTTTCAACTTCCACAAGTGAAACACTACGACATTATCCTGGAAATTCACTTGTGGAATTTGAAACTTCGAGAGTGTGACTATTTTTCAATCACAAGGGTAGACGTCCGATTTGATGTAATGGTACCAAAGGACTTGTAATTGCTATCCCTCCCCTTTTTACCATTGCTAATGATTTCTAATTATGTAATTTCTTACCTGTAGGAGATAGAGAAGATGGAAGAAGAGTTGGAAACAAAAACTGATCTCATAGCTAAACAAGAGAGATTGATCCAAGGATGGAGGAAGGACTTAAAGGACCAACAAGATAAACACATCATGGAGTTAGAAAAGGTGTAAACCATAGATAACTTTTTTTTTTGTACTATTTGTGATTCAATTTGAATACTTAAGTTGGGATGACAAGTAATGTTGCCTTGGTTTTTCCAACAGCATTGACATACATATGATTTGACAGAACAAGTCTTGTTTCTTTAGGTAGAAGCACTCAAGAAGACACAATCTTATTTCAATTTTCGACTTTCATCTTGTTAACTGACTTAACCACAATACTTATTCAAAGACAAGTATTTTTAGTGAGGGGTTGTTTGGTATGGAGAAACTTATCCCATTTCTGTAGTACAAATGGTGAGATTACAAATTCCAAAACTAATTAATACACCTAAACAAACATAGAATAGAACTTCATTATATTTCAAGATTATTATCCCTCATCCCTCTTATCAAACAACCTTTATATGCTAAAATCCATGTCCACAATTATCAAAAAGGGTTCTCAACAGGATGAATGCATGTGCAAGTCATTTTTCATGAAAAATGACTACTCAGCATCCATACAGGGAAGCAGAAGATAAACTGCAGATCACTTTTGAGTCAAACAAGAACAGCTCCAAGGCAAAATTATTTAGAACTCACAAAACCCACAATCATATTGTACAATTTTCACATATGAAATGTTTTCTGGACGACATGTCACACAGCTATAGCAGATGGTGAACAGAGACAGATTGTTTACAGTGACCCGAGTCACAGTAACAACTACTTGGTAAAATACCAAACACGCAAACCACAAAGATAGAGAACATAAAATCCAAATGCAACACTTGAGTAGACTGACGACAATACTTAATATCTAGTAGACTACATTGAGAGGAGTTCATCCTGAACTCTTACATAGCAACACTTGGAACGCAATCAATTCCACCTCAGTTTTCCGAGCTGTAGGAGGCCTCGCCAGATGATGAACTCTCTAGCTGAAGCAGCTTCATCTCCTCATATGCCCATTCAAGACCAGGACAATAGTGAAGTGGCGGATTGAACCTGGGGTCAGAGATGTCATCTGGCAAAAATGCACCATTTCTAATCAAGAATTTAATCGCCTTCTTCTTTTTCTCTTTGGCAGCATGATGGAGAGGAGTCCCTGAACAAACAAAGCGATATAAAGATAACAGTAAGGATTAGAAAAGAAGAAAGCGCATAGCCTTATGTTAGATATTACTAAAAATAATTCAGGCACCTACATGCACATGCACCCTTGGCACGAGCATCGATATCAGCACCTCTCTCAAGCAATTCATCCATAACTCTCACGTGACCTCCCTTAGCAGCAAGATGAAGTGGGGTCATACCAAATGATTTTGGCCCCCCTGCCATCACATTTGCATCCATGCCTTCATTAAGAAGCCTTCTAACCTGTCCCAAGGAAAAGAAGAAATACAATCACAAAAAAATGTTAAGTCTAAACCAACGTAAAGATGGTGGAAGAGAGAATGCATTCAAAGATGTATCTGTCTGATGAATTCTGTAACACCAAAAAACTTTTATAGCACAGGAAACTTGTAAAAAAGAACTTTAAAATAAAAACCCAGAGAAGCTAAAGATACTGTGTATCCAAGTTTTCTCCCAATCTAAGATTTTGTCTTATGTTCCAATCTATTTTAAATAATACTAACGCACTTTCTGGATAGGAGGCAACCATAGAGGTTTGGTGACATTTGACAACCAAAGGCAGGTAGTGGTGACAAAGAGAATTAAAGGATACAGGAAAAGGCAGGATGAGGGGACTCATACATACGATCAGGGGCCTGAATTTGGTTGTGACCTGTCATAAGCGCAGGATAGGAACCAACAAACATAATTTTGCTTATATGCTAACAGAACTCATAGGTGAATGAGTTACATCACAAGCCACAACCATACTTATATGACTTTAGAAGGCTAGTTGTGTTCATTTTTATTTTCCACTAATAAGAGGGCTTTGGTTTCCCCGACCCCACCCCAGACACACACAAAGCCAAAAAAGAGAAGCTGAACCTAACTCATACTTCCTCTCCCATCTGCCCCATCCCCCAAGAGTTGTTGGAGATGTTGATTGAAAGAGTCACTGATTTTGTGGATTATGAAGTACTCCATTTGTTACTACAGAGAAAATACATGTGCTTTAATGGGGGAGAAGAAAAGAACCAAATTAACTTCGACACTAAGAGACAAGAAATCGATGTCAATGCAGTAGCAGAGCACGACGACAAGACCATACTGATTTTTGAGTCCTTTATATACAGTAGGACTATTTTTGCATTGACCGACAACCTACCACAACCCTCCCCCTTAATTACCTATCATACAATGAAAAGGCTTTGATGTTGGGCTTATCTTCTTAGTTATCATCTCAAAATCCTTATGTTCCTATTAGCATTAACTCAATATCATATAATGTATATTTATAACAAATTGTCCAATAGCAAACCATAATCAATAGACATATCTAACTATTAAACAGCAGTAATTGCACACGAAATTAAGCATCTGATACATGCTACATACATGAAAGATAAATTACCTGTTTCAGGTCACCTTTCCGAGCAACAATGTGAAGTGGAGTCCAACCGCGATCATCCGTATCACCTGCAGTTATACGCATTCTTCTCGATCGTCGAGTTGAACCAACCTGATCCTCCTCCATTTTCCTCTTCTCCACTTCCCTAATAAACAAAGCTCCAAAATCCAATCCTTATTGCCACAAATTGAAACAAATACTCAATCCAATTCTATTCTTTCTTGCAGAATCTTCTTTCACAGTGTCCGGAAGAGAAATTTCGAAAAACTAATCAACAACAAGTCTAAAGACTCTACTTGTATATCAGTTACTGAATCTCAATACACCAAAACAAGACCTTTTTACATAAAAACTAACAACTTTGACCAACAAGATTGATCTGTCTTCCGACTACGAGAAAAACCCAGAAAAGTCTTCAATAGACAAGACCCAAAACAAGTGATAATCTTCTTAAACACCCTTCAATTTTACATGATCCAGGGGTAAACAACCAAGAAAAAATTAGGGCTTTAGCGAGAGGAATGATTAGCCAAGTTGTAAGGACCAAAAGGGTTCAATCCAGGACCAAAAACACGAAGATTTGTAAGCTTATTGAACACACAAGATGAAGTGAAACGAAGGAATGCAGAGATTATCATTATCAATTCAAAAAACCACGCAAACACTATATATATAATAGCTGTTTTTTTACGGGAAAAAAAGGGCTATTATATGAATCCTTGATGAATTTGGAATATGTTTGGAGGTTGCATATGTGTAGATGAAGGGATTTTTCTTGTTTGATTTGGTTTGGGGTTTGAAGGAATTGAGAGGAAGAAGGAAGAAGAGAAACCCTAGAATTTTTTAGGAGGATATTGGAGAATGGATGGTTTAGGATATTTATTGGGCCTTTTGGTATGTAGTTATATTCCAATTTTGCTTCAAAAGTTTTTTTTTTGCTAGATTAGGAAAGAAAGAAATTACTCGAAAAAATTATAAACCTCGACCACCAATCCTGAGACTCGAGCCTGACCCCAACCTTGAGAATCGACTTGACCTGACTAGAGACTTGAATTCGATAATGAGATATGACCCCTACCTCGAGACTCCATCCCTATCTCGAGACCTTACCTATCTCGAGACTTGACCCTGACACCATCCCAATACTTGATCGAGTTTGGGGTTGGGGTTTGATTCTATGTCAATATAGGGTCGGGCCCTATTTCTATCCGAGGTCAAGGGTTGAGTTATGGTTCATGGTCAAGGTTGGAGAGGGACTTGGATTGACTATCAGATCCCAAACTAGGGTTGGTTTGGGTCCTAAGTCGGGGTGGATCTCAGATTGAATGAAAAAGTAGAGCTCCAAGTTAGTCAAGGACAGGGTAGGGCGTGTTACAAGGTGGTAGGTTGAGGGGCTAGGGGTTAGGGAGTTTGAGTTTGGAGGGGAGGGGGGGTTGGTTGGCGTGTTAAGGTGGAAAGAAAATTTTAGGAAAATGTTGTTTCTACTATTAGAAAGGGAAATCATTTTTCTTAAATAAAATAAAATAAGTTCATTTGAAAAATATTTTCTAGAATATTTAAATCAATCAAACATCAAAACATTGAAAAATATTTTTCTCCGTACCAAAATACACCTTCATCCAAAAGATCATTTTAGTCTGCAGCCAATTTGACTTCATATTTTGCAGGGATCACAAGGTTGGTTTCATTTACACTTTATGATCCCCAATACATCTTTTCTTCCACTCTTACAAATAATATCTCAAATTAACAAAGTGTTTAAGATATATAGATCGTTAATATAAAATATTATTTACAGTACTGTATATTTGATATATCCACTTTCATACTTTTAAACCACTTATGATGTTCCTCTTTCTTAAATTTTAAGGATCGTTTGGTACGCGGACTAAATTATTCTAAGATTATAGTCTTGAAATTATAACTTCTGAACGATAATTATCTCACTTGAGAGATAGGATAAAACAATTCCAAGTTGAATGGGATTATAGTCTTGAAATTATAACTTCTGAACGATAATTATCTCACTTGAGAGATAGGATAAAACAATTCCAAGTTGAATGGGATAAAGTGAAATATTCCATTATTAAGTCTATATAAATATTTTTTACTACGTATAGTTAATTATATATATTCAAAACTTAATCGTAAGATATCTCTCTTATTCTACGTACCAGATATATAAGTTAATCTCCTTGTTAGTTTGGGGCCACGTTCTAATCTATTCCATATAGTTCTTAGTCATCCTCGACCCTATACAAAAAAAATGAACTTCTTTTCATTGCACGAAGGATTTAAAAGATAATTTCTATCATTATAGTTGTGTTTTTCTAGATTAAATGTACTTTTTTTCTTATCACAAATGTGTATTTAGAATTTTTAGAACATGGGTATACCACTCAAAAAAAAAGTATCAAGTAAAATTGATCCCTATTCATTTACATAAATAACGTATCATTCAATCTAGTGATTCATTTAGCATTTTCAAAACATGAATGTCAACTGCCAACATATAATACTAGATCAATTATAAAATATATATAAATAAAATATTAAGTTTTTTTTGAAAAAATCATAAATTCACGTGCATCATAATTTTGACTTTAATTCACCCCTAATCATTAGTGATTGTCCTATAAATGTCTAGTAATATTTGGCTTTATATATTTTCTTCATAGTGTTCGATGTACATAAAGTTCTCACTTAGACAAAGTCCAATGAAGTAGAGCACATTACAATGCAATGGACAACCTAATGTTGTGTAGCCATAGCCATGGGCGCAACATCAAAGCTTATGGTAGAGTGATAATAATTTATTTTAGATATTTTGAGTTTGAGTTTTGAAAATGAAATTGCATTTAATGTGGTGCCTTTTACTCTCTTCTCACAACATGATTTTGCGATACAAATCCAAATGAATTGATATTTTTGTATGAATAATTATCACCACCACATTTTAATTTCTATTCCTGGCCACCATTACTAACCGCATTTGTCATCATTACCACCACCATTATCATCGCCACCCACCACCTACCACCTCCAACATCACAACTAAAATTAATGCAACCACCATCATTGAACTGCTCTTGCCAGCCACTACCGCACCTACCAGCTACCATCTTCATCATTGTGATTATATTAATTGTCACTACCATACCATCATTACCATCATCAATCATCACACATAGTTCAACTATCACCACCAGTACCACTAACTACTAATATCAATCAGCTTCATAATCACAAACACCACTACTAACCGCCATCATCACATCAATCACTACAATACCAACCACCTTTACCATCACAATTATTAATGATCAGATGTGCATTCAAATTCAGCCGTCATAATCTTAATGAAAATAAATAAACCCTCCTAATTATTGCGTTGGTCAGTACATTTATTTAAAATGTCCAAATTACCCTTTCAAACCAACCATTATACTTTACTTGTCTATTAAGAAAAAAAAAAGTCATAAATATATGACTTTAATAAAAAGTCTTTTTCTAATTTTGACCCTAAAACTCTCCTTTTTTGATCTTTTTTTCCACTTAAAAAAACCAAACCCCTTTGCCTTTTTCAAAAAAAAAAAAAAATCTAGTAAAGAAAAAAAAACTCAATGTTTGGTGGGAACAATGAAAATCTCGGTCCATTTACCCAGCGTTTGATGCTTCCGCAGCACCCCCTCCACCTCCTTCCCGGCGCCGGTGGTTCTTCCGGCAGCGGTTTGGGCGGAGACGATGAGTTTCCTAAGCGGGACGAGCGTGTTCCGCCGTGGAGTAATCAGGAGACTAGGGATTTCATAGCTATTCGAGGTGAGCTTGAGATAGAATTTTCTTCGGCGAAGCGGAGTAATTTGAAGAATCTATGGGAGATTGTAGCTGCTAGGATTAATGAGAGAGGATACAGGAGAAGTGCTGAACAATGTAAAAGCAAGTGGAAGACTTTGATCAATCGTTACAAGGTATTATATTATCTCAATCCCTAATAAATTTAGTAAGCTATTCGATCCGTTTCAATTTGTTTGTCTGATTTTGACTTGATAGGAGTTTAAGTAAGAAAGTAGTTCGATTTGTTTGTCTGATTTTGACTTGACATGAAGGAGTTTAAGAAAGTAATAAGAACTTTGAAACTTGTTGTATTAAATTAATGGTAGGTAGAATGTACCGATATGTCCTTTAATCTTGTAGTCTCAAACATGTTGGGTGTAAAGTTAGATACAGTGGTACGAGCCTATAGAAATTGAAATGGGGTGAGTATGTCAAAACTCAAAAGTATCAAAAATTAATTCTTTTATAATTTGAAATATCTAAAAAATGTTATTACAAAGTTCCAGTTGAAGAGAAAACTGTTTGGTTCCTCAAAATTGTAGTTGCACCTGACAAATTGGAACAGAGAGGGTATCTAGTGCAAATGGAGTCAGAATTTCTTAGTTTATTTGTTCATTTTGGTCGATTGTTACTTTCCCTTGGTAGGATATAGTATATACCACCTGAGAGATGTTTTACCCAATAAAGAAGTCATATCATTATGTTCACATATTGTGGATTTTCTAGCATGTCATTTGGAATAGCCGAAGGACAAGGAAGTTGAATGTATCTTGCATTTTTGTGTGTTCAAGACCATCTACTGACTTTGTAATCCCAATGAGGTTTAGATTCATGTGTGTCAAGACTGCTCCTTTTGGGAGAAGAGAAGGGACAATGAGCTTTGGGAAAAAAAGAGGAATTATAATAATACCTAATTTAGTTGTCGTTTTGGTTTAGATTCTTTAACAGTCTACTTCACAACTATCTGATGCTTTTCTAACAGCTATATTTTCATGCTACTTTTGAAGTATGCGTTTTGGGGATGGAGGTGTCAGCAAAGAATGAAAGAAAATCTCATTCGTTTCTGAAATGGTTGTCAAGATTGAGTGATCTACTGTTAAATTAAGAAAATATCAAGATAGAGGATAAACTTCATGGTTTCCAAATGGCACATACTTGCTGTAGACTAGTGATAATAAATGGCCAGAAAGGAGGTAGCTGTATCTTGCCCCTTCTTTTCATTTTGCAATAGTCAGATTGACACCATTTTTGTTCTCAGAGGGGCAGAGAACTCTTTGATGCTTCTCCTGTGAGAAATATTTACCCTACACTTCAAGTTGTTCCATAAAACTGGAAGGATAGGGGAAAAAACATTTACTTACTCCTTCCTTTCCAACTTTGCAGTCATTGAGAATGCTAATGTTGAGGGATAGTATTTTCTGCCCTCGTAATTTCTAACCAAACAAGGGAAATATCAACATCTTACCCTGTCCTCCTTAGGGCAAGGTATATTGCATGAGATCCAATAGGGATAAACTTAATTTACCTAGAAAAAAAAAGGTTGGTTGCCTGGGATCTAATAGTGATAAGTTTACGTCTACTCCTTTGCTTTAGTACTTCATTGCTGCTGTAGGATAATACAGTTTGATACTCCTTTGAAGAATAAAGCCAAACATCACACCTTCAAAAATTCATTTTTCTTTCATCTCCTTCTATTCTATTAACTTAACAAATGTGTTTTCTAGACATTTCTTGCAACTTGGAGGAAACAACTCAAGATATAGTATGAATGATTTGCTTGCTGGAGTTGCAATATGTATTCACGTATTCATTCTTAATCTTATGAAAAGAGAGAAAAAAGTGGGGTCGGGACAAGAGAGAAGTTATAGTTGTCGAAGGGTGGTCCAACTAACATTCTTCGCCGGAAGATTATAGTTTATGTTTTGTCCAGTATTGCTACTTTTTATACATATATATTGGAACTTGAACACCCTTCGGCCTTGACCAATTGAGAGAGGTAGCCCAACGATGAGAGGGTATTTAAAATGA